AGACGGAAATTAATGGAGAAAACAAATGAGAATCGGCAATGCCCACTATATTCTCCTTCCCAAGCAATCATACAGTCTACTTTGACCACTCATATCCCCTGCTACACAACCCTGCCCATACTCCTCTCCTGCATAACACTGTCCATACTCCTTTCCTTTAATGCACAACACTGCCCCTACTTCTCTCCCCTGCTGCACAAGACTTGTGTCCCTCTCTTTGAAATTTATCTGAACTTTGGTGGAGTTGATTGTTGTTATTGGTATTACAGTCTAATAAAATATGTTTCCATAGCAAAAGCAGCTAGTCAGTAAGTGACATAGTATGAAAATTGGTTATGTAGGAAATTTTGATCATTCCTATCCAAAAGCTGAATAACATACTACCGCTCTCTATAGCTCTCAGAATGTTGCCAGTGCTTGTTTTCACATTATTTTGCATCAATCTTTTTTTATTTAGTGTGTTTATTAAAATGTATTATTGAACAAAAATTGCTTTGTGTTTCTTGTAAAAAGCTTTCAAGTTTTATGTTCCATGTGTTTTTTTGTTTCATTTTAAAATTACTACAGTGAACTAAATCAATCATGAACTGCATAAATATAATTACAGTGATGACAAATGTCATTGTTTAATATCTTTGAAGTTTCTCTGCTGATGGAATTAACTTAATGCACTATGTTTATTTTCAAGGAAATGATTAAGTTGTAAAATGCAGAGTGATCCTGTATTGAGCATAATATAGTTGTCAATATACGGTACGTACATTTTTATAACAGAGTCAAACCAATTAACCACAGGTGTTCAGTGCCTCGCACAAGTATTGAGCATCTTCCAATGATGGCAATGTTTTTGAAATACAAATACTGTAATATATACCTATTTTGTCAAATTAATATTTGGAATCAAAGCTTGAATGCTCAAACTGAAGACCTGTTATGGCTCAAAGATGTTAATTAAACAGTGTCAAAAACGAATTAAAAACTAAAATGTGACGGTTGCCAAAGTATTCACCCCCTGAGTCCACTTCCAACATACCCATGAGTGGTCCTATTGTAAATACTGTCAGGTAATATTAAAGTGTATTGCTTTGTTCTTTAAAGGCTCAGGCCGCTAGCCCTCCCCACTCCTCGCCCAGTCATGGTGCCAGTCGCCCAATGCCCATGCCTGTCAGGTCAACATCTGCCGGATCCACACCCACCCACGCGCCTCAGGACTCCCTGACCGGGGTCGGAGGGGATGTCCAAGAAGCTTTTGCGCAGGGTGAGTCTCCCTTGTCAATCCTGTCTGCTAAACCTTCATGAAATCACTGAGGGGTCTAAGGAACACTGCCATGTACTGTACAGTACATGGTGTTGATGAAGTGAAGTATGGAATTGGGAGAAGAGAAAATATTGGTACACTTTATTATTATTTAAGTATTTAAGTGTTATTATTTAAATTATTAGAGTTATTAACTGTAAATTAACCCAACAAATTTGTATCCGTTCTACGGTCCTATCCAGTTTTAAGAACAGCCAAGATGATGGATGAAGCTTTCTCTGAACAAAGTGGTTTTCTAATTGTCTCTGTTTCTAGAAGTATTTTTAAATGAAAGCAATGTGTTTTTTTCAAAACTTTTGTACCCTGACTCTTCCTAGATTTACACCCTTAAATATGCAGTCTCTTAACAGATAGCAAGAAATACAATTTGTACTAGAGCAAAACATTTGAAAATCACATTGGGAGTCTAATGTATTAAGAAAGGAAACGTTCTGAAAAAGAGTACATACGTAGCGCACCAAAGGGTTTTACATTTGGATATTAAAATTCAAGAGATAAGTAAAGTTTTATTGGGAGATACGACTTTAAGAATATGAGACTGCAAAAATGCTAGCCTTGCAATTCTGGATAACAAATTTGGAGCCTGTTCTTGGAAACTTTTTTTCTTGTGGACCTTAATGTGATCTAAGACATAATCGCTCAAAACCAGCTGAGCTTCTTTGATTTGAATGATCCTTTGATTCTGCACTATAATCAGTCTTCTTTTGTTTTTTGTTTAGATTTTGTTGTTTTTTTTAATGCTAGACTGCTTTAAACTTAATTAAAATCTTCCCTAGAAACAGGAAAACTAGCAAATTCCTCAAAAGTTAGACTGTGCTCCAAGATTGCAACACTTTTCCAACTTAAGGGGAACATTCACTATTGGATTCCGGAATAAATACTCATAGCTTAGCTTTAAATGATGATTAATTAGAATATTTTGAGTACTTGAGGTTAAAGTCTTTGGAACCTGTGCTTAATGACCTCCACTTTCTTGGAGTATACTACCTTAACTCCATCTCAGCTGACAGTCTTTAAGAGGCACAGTTTATGAGATGAGAATTGCAGCCTTTGTTCTTTTTGAAAATTTTACAGAAGTGGAATGAAACATCCATGCTGAGATTAAATGAAATAAGTTTGTTTTCTTGGGTAGAGACATTTGTTTCCGTTTAGGGCTACAGCTCTGGTTACCTTGCATCTTAATGTGGGTAAAGGTTTTTCTTTCAAGTTTTTCTTTTTGCACACCTCCATGTGTAACATTAAATAGTACCACAACAGTATGCAAGAAAGCTCCAATTCTCAGTTGATAAATTATCTAAGTCTGAGACTGTTGGCGGAGAGTCAAGATTCTATGTACATAAACAACATAGAAACCTCCACAAATCATCTCTCAAAATATTACGAGTCATCATTCAGTTAGTGTAGTAGAATTAGTTTATCATTGCCACTTTCTACAATAACCTAAACACCTGTACATGTTCATGCACAGATATCTGAAATTAACTTTAATCTTGAATCCTAATTAATCTGTGAACACTTTGTGTTTATTGTTTCAATGCAGAGGAACATTATGTCATTTCTTAAATCACTCAAAGTATCAAACACTATGGTATTAAAGGAAACATAATAAATTGTGATATTATTAGTTATGCCAAGCAACAATAGAATGTAATATAGCAGAGGAGCCAATAATAATAATAAATAATGTGAAAAATATTTTTCTTTGAGCATGAAACTCTTTATAAAAATCTTCTCTTGAAACAGGGATAATACTCACAGACCACAAAATAGTAATTTAGTGTCCATCCATTAAAAGGGTGACAAAACTTAAACAATTCATTATAGACGATCATATTTTCATTAATTTCAATTTTATTTAATTACATAAACAATAGTTAGAAATAAATGGAGGGATCACCTGTGCAGATTCTAAGGGATAATCAACAAGAAGTTAGATCCTGCTGATGTGCCTGAGTTATTGAACAAGCAAGTAGAAAGGGATACAAACAACATATGGTGTGTTTAGATTTCCAATATTTTTTTGGTAAAGTTCCTCATAAAAAATGTACTCTGAAGTCTTAGTAGGTATTAGGTATTCAAGGTAATGTGTAAACAAAATAATTGGTACATAAATTTAAGTAACACGGGAATCTGTTTTTTGATTACCTCTCTTCCTATTTTATTTAATGATCAAGATTCAGGTATAGTTAGTAAACTAGTCACGTTTGCAGATTATAATAAACTAAGAGGCTACAAATGTTGAAGAATTTACAAAATATATTCCTAGGGATGTAGACTGAACTCAGGACTACTGTGCAAACTTTTGACTGAATGATCTTAGTGGAGGATGTCTCACACAGATGTTAAAAGTATGAACTGTCAATATATAAAGAGACACACTGAGTTTGAGGTGGCTACATATTAGAAAGACTTAGGAGTTTATTAATTATGATTTATTAAATGTGGGGAATTCTTTTAATTTTTTAATTAGCTCAACAGAATGTTAGGATGTGTAAAGAAAAAAACATTTAAATCAAGGAATGTTATGCTAAAACTGTAAAATGTATTAGTAGACTTAATTTAGAATGCAGCGTTCAATTTTTGTCATCACAATACAAGAAAGATATTTCTGCTGTGAAAACAATTCAAAGAAGAGCAAGCATAACATTTCTGGGATCAAATAAATTTCAAACACATGACAGGATGAAAGAACTGAACCTTGAGCAAAGTAAGACTACAATTCACATATTTAAAATCCTTAAAGGCAGTGGTGTAGTCAGCTTAGTGGCCTTCTTAAAAATCAACAGTAAAACACAAAGCAGAGGACACAAGTGAAAACTGCATGGTAGTGCATTTAAAATGAAAACCAGGAAGTACAGTACTTCTTTACACAAATGCCTGTGGAACCACAGAGCAATAGGCACAGCCATGTTGTTGTTGCGGATGTTTTCTTTAGAAGAACTGTGGGATGAGATTTTTGAATCAATAACCTACTGAAAACAAAACAAACAAGATGGACCGTATGGTCTCCTCTCTGTTTAACATTTCTTATGTTCTTGAGAGGATCAAAGACGCATTTGGAATTTGCAGTACCTCTAGACATGTACTGTATGGTTGTACCTCCTGTGTTCATGTTTTGTTTTTACAAAAAACAACATCTTCTCATCTGTTTTGTGTTATGCAGGTGCCCGGAGAAATCTTCGAAATGATCTTTTAGTGGCAGCTGATTCAATTACAAACACCATGTCATCGCTGGTGAAAGAACTTCATTCAGGTAGGTGAATAAAGAGGAGATTTGATTTCCCACCTGCTTCACAAGTTGAAAGGTTAGTGTCATTTGTAAAGCATGAACCAGATATTTAAATTAAGTATTCTCAGTATCTAATTTTCTCCAAATCTGGCAAGCTGCATAGTAAAATTTGTTAAACTTTAATTCATTTGTATTATTTTAGATACTAGTACAAATTTAAAATTATTTTAGAATTTTTGTATTTTTAAAGATACATTAAAATCCATTTAATTTATCTTTAAATGTTTCCACACACCTCTGTATAAGTGATTCTGTTAGTCTAAAACTGTCAGCTAACAGCTGTGCTGTATTAGCAGAAACAGGATTCTTTAGATAATTATCATTTTTATTCACCCTTAATCTATTGCATTAGTGATACTATAGCAGATATAATGACAGTTGTTCAGGCAATACGTTCAGCAAGGGCTATTCAGTATTCAGTACAGTATTAAAAGTATTCATATTAGGTGCATTTTAGTTTTCGATGATTTGATGTAATAAGATTTTTTAACAATTAGAAAGTTACTGTATATGGAAATTCCTTTTTTTTCCATTCCATTGAAATTTCCATTTCCATTCCTTTTTTTAGTGTTTTACAAGATGATCGTACTGTATTCACCTAAAGTAATCAAGATTTTTTTCTGTATTGGTTGTTTGTGTATTGAATGTTTGGATTGGATTGGAAGTTGAATTGGTTTTCATTTAACAAATTTTAGTCGTGCAAACCACTGCAATAATATTTTCAATCTTAGCAGATTGCATCAGTTATCATTGCATAACCATTGTGTCCATCAGCAGAATTCCAGAATATTGCTGTGTTACTTCTATTCCTCTTCCAGATCTGATGAATCTCAACACTCACTTAATCATGGCACCTCATTTATTGTCTATACTATTTTCTAAAAAGGTTTCTTTGCATGCTCAGCCTAGTTTCGTGTTGTCTGGGTTACTATTATAACTCAACTTCATCTGAATTAAAGTACAGATCTGAAATTTGGTGTATAATCTTACTCTTATATCTGAGATTTGGACGTCTACTGGAAAGATGGATTGGTCACGGTTTGGGGCATCATATAGAATCCATCGAAATTCATTGAACATATTCGAAAATAATTTTCTCCTATTGTTCTTGTCCAGTCGGAACAAACATTTGGTGCAAATAGGCTAGGATATGCAGCCTCTTAAGATGATTCCAAACAATTGCTACATCAAAAGACAAGACATGAAATCACACATTTCCAGTGTGCTTATAATGTGCATTTCCTTATGTTGAGACAGAAATCTATAGTAGGGGTTTGAGCAGGCATGTGAGTAGCAAAGGAAAAAGTGGAGATTAATTCCCCAATGAAAAGCAAAAAAGAGATTTCTCATCTTTAAATCTACTTTTGTGTTACAAAGGTTAGTTAATCCTACCCTGTCAAGTTGTTCATAAAGATTCCCATTAAACGTTTGGTGTTTTTCATGATAATGGTTTAAACATATACTACATTGATTACCAGCTGATGTCATGTAGTTTATTCTTCTAAGCCTGTGGAAGAACACACCCCAGTAAAACCTCAGAAAGTTCCTTTTGGAATTACCTTATAGATCTTGTTTTATAATATTATGCTCTAGTATCTAGAAGAATCTGGGTAGCAGTTGGCAAAAATAAAACAAATCAAAAGTGTTTAACTGATATTTCGTACAATTTGGAGAAAAAACCTGCAAGTGATGCCACACAGCCAACTGCAGGCACATGATAACTTTTACAATTACAATAATAATGAACAGTATGATCTTTATTCGCTGAGAATGTGACCATTATCTCTCTTGTGTCTTTTTCCCTTTGCTAAAAATCAGTATCTATACACGTGGTTCATTTTATAAAACTTGTGTTATTATTATCATTATTATCACCAGTAGAAGTTCCTGACACTTAAGTACACTAAACTAAAACCTCATTGACTTTCACAGAGGAAATGTTTAACTATGACCAGTCATTAAGTAAATACACTAATACTTAATTGCAAAAACTGAGAAATTTTTACAGTACTAGTCTTCAATCACAATTTCTAACAGTACAGTAGGTCAAAACACTAAGTAATACCAGAGTGGGACATTGACAAGGAGTCAAGGCCAACACTGACATAGATTGGCTTCACAGCCTGTTTGTTTTTCCCAGCTGCCCTCTGCACCCGGAGTATGAAGGTTCAGTCTCTATCACCTGACTACCAGTACTGGTGCCATTTTGCTTATCTTCCATGCATACAATAATAATCATCAACATCATCATGCTTACACTTATATAGTGCTTTTCTGGACACTCCACTCAAAGCGCTTTACAGGTAATGGGGACTCCCCTCCACCACCACCAATGTGCAGCATCCACTTGAATGATGCGATGGCAGCCATAGTGTGCCAGAACACTCACCACACATCAGCTATCAGTGGGGAGGAGAGCAGAGTCGTGAAGCCAATTCATAGATGGGGATTATCAGGGGATTATCAGGAGGCCAACATTGATAAAGGGAAATATGACCAGGTTTCTTGAAAAGAAACACCCCTGTTCTTTACAAGAAATGTCTTGGAATTTTTAATGACCACGATTTTACGTCTCACCCAAAGGACAGTGCCTTTTTTACAGTACTGTATAGTGTCCTCGTCACTATACTGGGGCATTAGGACCCACACAGACCTCAGGGAGAGCACTCCCTGCAGGCCCCAATAACACCTCTTCCAGCAGCAACCTTAGCTTTCCCAGAAGGTCTCCTATCCAGTTACTGACCAGGCTCACACCTGCTTAGCTTCAGTGGTTTGCCAGTTGAGAGTTGTAGGGTGATATAGTTGCTGGCTCTAGTATTCCAGTAATGCTGTAAGTACTGGATAACTGAGGAAAAAAAGTTATCAGTACTTCACTCATCCTGCACCATTGCAGATAGACCACTAACATTATCTTGGTGTTTACATTTAAAAATGGACAAAAAATGCAAACCAAGAGATAGTGTCTGACCTGATACTGTATCAGAAGGAAAACACTGACTTAATTGCAACTCTGAGAATTTTGAAATTAATTTTGTATGCAAGGTATTTTCAAGTGCAGAAATACAATTGAGAAAACCGTATAAATAAGTTTTAAGTAGCTAAAAAAGGCTTCTGTCTATACCAGCTGTGCAGAAGAATGCTACAGTGTGTTCATCATTTAATTTCACTGCAATTTATGTATGACCCTATAACTAAAGTATTACCATACTAATTGGATATCTTTTATCATCCAGATGGAGAGACTAATCTAATAAAAAAGGCTACAATTAAAACCTCTTGTTTTTTACTTGTTATTGTTGTTGTTAATTACCAGAAGCCATAAGACATTGAGTTCTGTGTAATTAGAATGATATCCTAGTAATACAAAATACTGTATCCCTGGGCATTTAAATCATATTTAAAGGCCCAGCATATAATACAAAAAAGTAAAAGCAAAAACAGCATAATCTTGGCAGAGATTCAAAGAATCTTTCTTAAGCTGCTGTAGTAAAATAAAAAAAAACTCATGGAGGGGACTAAAATGGTTCTATTCCTGTAAATCAGTAGATGACACATTTCACCTAAGCTGTCGTGAATATTTGGCGACAGTCCTCTATTTGGCCTGACATAGCAATTAGAGACTGTACGCTAAAGGTAGCTGGAACACACTCACATTTCTTTTAACAAAAACACAATTTTGTATTGTGTATCTGAGTTACAATTGACGTTTTATTAACAGAAATGTGTTTCTTCGATAACATGACTTTGCCTTAATTGGTGCATTGTGTTACAGGTGGAACCAAAGTCTCTCTAATCAATCTAATCTATGTTCTTTTTGAAAGGGAAGTGTGGTGTAATTGAAATGCCAACAGTGCCATTCATCCCCAAAAAACACAGCCTCAACCTATAAGTATATGCAGTTTGTATAGGTTAGATTTTAGATTGCGTGTGTGCGTGCGTGCACTGTGCAATAACTCTGATTTCTGTGTCATGTCTGGCTTCTAAGTAGATGAAGGAGGCGAAGAAGAAGAGGAAAAGATGCAGAATGGCAAAGACAGAGGTGAGCCTCACCTTTTATATAAATTTAATGAAGATCTATTTTAAAACATTCCTGAAAACAAATATACTGTACCAAACATATTAAAATGATCGAATTTTAGGTGGGTAGCTGCGTCAGCATGCGTAGGCTGCAAAGAAACAAGTAATAGGTTTATTCCATGCTGAAAAGAGAAGAAAACACATTTCGGCTGTGGAGCCTTCTTCGGGTGTCACACAAATTGAAAAATAATTTAGTGGTGTTGTAAGAAGTATAATATTTCAACTGGTGTATAATAATTTTTCTGGTGAATGACATGCTATAGTTCATACCTGTAGTCAGTGTTTTGATATTGATTTAGTAAAGGAACCTGTACATCTGTTTATGAAGAAACTTTAATCTCAATTTGTTGACATTAGTGATTCTTTACTGGTAACTAGGCAACAGATGGCTACTTGTTTAAAGCTTAAAAAGTAGAAAAAAACAGATTTATCTCTCTTTTTTATTTTAAAGAAAAGTAGAATCTCCTCTGACTAAAAGAGTCTTTCTTATTGGGTCAGTATGCTATTTGTTTGTGGGTTTGTCTATTTATTTAATTGCTAGAGAAATACAGATTTTTCTGATGAAACAAATGAGTTTTAATTTATTAATTTAAATGAATTCTTAATTTGTTTGTTTGTTTGGTTGTTTTTTGGGGAAGTGTCCAAGTGTTCAGACAGCTGTCACCCACTTCAAAATTGCTCATCATTTCTCGCCATTTGCTTTACTGAAAACTGTGTGTAAAAAACATGGCCTTCCTTAAGCTGAGCATACATTTCCATCAGTATACTATATTTCTGTATAATACTATTCTCCATAGACTGCAAAAATTGAGTTGTGGAAGAGTGAACTTATTTAGTAATGTTGATGCCTGGTCAGTTCTCTGAGAAAGTTTATTTTGAAGTTGTTAAATGTTAGGTGCAGACGTTTTCTACTGAGCTGTTGTGTCATGCCTATTATTAAGTTATACAATAGATTACTATACTGTGTACTGACTATAAAAAACAGTACAATGTGCATATTGAATTCATCAAGGCCAACACTTATGCAGCTTTATTTATTGTTATGTATTCAAAATGAACGTACTGTATAAAATGTGAATATTAAGAAAGGATTCTGACATACCGTTTCATTGTTTAATTGTCGGACTTTCATTGAATTAGCTGAAACATTTTAATTACATGGGCATTTTGCCTTGGGTTGAGTATTAACCACAGAGGTGTAACAGACCAGACAAAAACAGACACACACACATTTTATAAAAATGAAGCTAGCGTGCTCAACAAGGGCATGGTAAGGGCTGATGGCTGACTGCGCTTACATCATGTTGCATGAATTCAAGCATGGCACTGCACTTTGCCTTATAATAATGATAAAATGAGTTTGTTTAAAGACAAGAGCCTCATTCATGTCTTTGAAAATGTCTTGTTTGCTCCAGAAGCACTCAAAATATTTGTCATTCAGTACTGTGGTTAGTGCTTAATTTAAAAATCAGTTTTATTGTTATATGAGTTATGGTTAATGGAACACTATCTTATGTTGCAGGTTAAATGGAACAAGGCAAAGATTTAATGATCTAAGTAAGTATATAAAGAAACAGTTCATACTGAAGTGAGAGTTTGCTTAAAACAAATAATCTTGGCATTAAATAAACTATAGCATTGTGTCTTCCAACAAAATGATTTAGACAAAATGGCAGCCCTTGTATTGTAAATTTGTACATTTCCAAATTTACAGTACTGCTCATACAAAACTGGCTTTAATCATATGACAGTAGTTTTAACTAACACAGCCAAAAGCCACAGTTTAGTGTCAGAATATTTATGGATCGACAGAGGATCTTTAATGTGAAAAGGAATAGGCACTGATAAATTATTCTGAATATGTTTAAAAACTATAAAAAAGGGTTTTATTGTTTATTCAAATTTAATGGGGTTGATTGCACCATATAAATTAAATTAATTTCATGTAAATATAGAGTTTCTACAGTAAGCATTCAAATAGGGCATCTTTTTATTGATTCATTAAAAATTAATATGAAATGTGGAGGCTACATACAACAAACAGTTGATTCGTGTTTAGTACATGTTAAGGGAGCTTACAAGAAAAACATGTTTATTCTAATGTTTTTAACTTGAGATGTAAGCCAGTGTTTGTTCAGGATCACAGTCTTTTTGTGACTGTTTGCCAAACATTCGGGGCTGAAGGGGTAAGGGTATACCAGTAAGGAGCTCTCTGCTACTATCCCAGGTTTATCTGGCCAACAACGATTTCTTTGATCTTTTGCACAGTGCCCATGAAAAATGAAAGCTCACAAAAAGGAAGGGTTGGGGAGGCCAATCAAACAAGTTTTGAAGATTATGAAAAGTTTTTACATCAGTCTTCATGTTTAGAATTTAGGCAAAGTTCTGTATCTGTTCTGTATTCAAGCAGTTCAATCGTTAGATGTCTTTCTCTTTGATTCTCTTCTTCCATTTGTGTTGATACTTTAATAAATGTAAAAATATTACTCAACTAGCAGATGTGCAACATTATGGTATTGTGCATGTTTCGTGTATGATAACAATTATTTTCCAATTACACCTTTGTTTTTGTATGTGTCAAGTTAATATGATGGAAGCTCTTCATTCCAGTACAGCTCTTACTACTTTAGCCCTTCATTGAAATTTTAATTTCAATTTTAAGTAATTCTGATTCTTTCTTTAAATGTTTTATGGAATTCCTGTTTTAGTTTATTTCTCTGTCTCTTCAATTAGGACAGCATTTTGGATCATCATTACCTACTCCTGTGCCTATTTTTGTGAAGGATTTGAAGTAAATGGGGATTAGTTAACTAGTTAAATTATTTAACTAGGCTATACAGTGTAAAAAAAGAAAAATTAGTTAAACCTAAAAGATATGTTTTGGTTATACACTATTCAAAAAGCATTTTAAAAGGAAAAAGGAAAAAGCCAGGGAAAGGGCATTTATTTGCATTTAGTATCTATTTAGGCAACTTGCAAGAATTCAGGTATAGTAAGGGTCTTTTGGCAAATGTTGTACTTCTCTGGGTTAATGTATGTGGATTGGGGCAAACGTGATATTACAGTGTATAGGCAAAAAATGACAAAATTTCAATCTGTGTCTTTTGATATTATTTTTGTTTTTGGTTACAGGCACAGTGACAGTAAAAAGCAACTCAATCACTCTGCAGATACTGTATACCCTCATCTTGTGGACACTCGCATTCAATCTATGAAGACACTTTGATGTGACTCAAAGAGCAAACAAGAAAAACCTTTTGCTAAAGCAATTTGTCTCTTGTTTCCATTGAACAAGATTTTAACGAGAAGACACTTTTGTTCCATTAGCGGTTAGATGAATGCATGCAGCATTTGTTTTTTTCCAATTTCAGTTTTTCACCTTTTAAAGGTTCTGTACGATTTGTAAATTATTTGCCGCAAGCAGACAATTGTTATGTGTCAATCAGGGAGCTTCAATGTAAAATCCATGTGTGGTTTCAATAGTTTCACATACTACTGAAGCAGTCTCCTTTCATGCTCTTTTTATTTGTAACTCTTAAGATAATTTAAAAGGATTTAATTTTTATTTCAGTACCTTAACAACTCAAAGAATGCATACTGTAGACAGATCTGCAGGTCCATGCATGAATGTCTCTCCCAGCTTTCTAAGTATATAATTCTGTTTCGGAAATCTGTTCTATTAAAAGTCATATAACATTTGCATGAGGCTGTGTAACAAATCAAGGGGTAAATGCAAATAGGAAACCTGTGTCCCCTGGCTGCTTTTCTGTGTCTGTTGTTACAGATAAGATAACCTGTGGTTTGCATTCATAGCCCCTCTATAGTCCTGCTCTTTCATCTATGAATGTGGAGTTAACAAAACTATTCTGTTGGTAGCGCCATTATGCTTGGATTAAAAAAAAACTTCAAGAAAAGTAAGTGTGCCACACAATACATGGAATTCTTTGCAGTGAGTTCTTGGATAATCAGTGACAGTTTTTAGTAAATTTGTGTTTTCATTTTTATTGAATTGCAAAGTGCTGTGTCTCATGAAAGCTTTAATTAATGATCTAAAAAAAAGTTGCCCCAAAGATATTAGTTGTTTTGAATATATTGTATGTCATTTAGAAAAACAAAATGCTAAATGTTTTTATTTAAGTTGTGTGCCAAAACAACAGAAGTCCAGAAATACCAGCAGAAGCCACAAGGCCGCCAACTACTAGTATATCGTCTGAGAGCTTGTTTATGCTCTCGGGTGTCCTTCATCCTTTGCAAGTATTAAGGAACAGAGCTGAGAGAGAACATATGTCTGTTCATGGACTCTCAAACAAATAGGCTGACAGATGGTTAATCTCTATTCTTTTGATAAAAGAAAGAAATTCACAGAATTTGTTTCAGACAGCAAAGTAAATAGGAGAAAAACGATTTATGGCTTTGAGGATCACTCCTTTTAGTTATTTAGATACCTGATGAAAAGCTAAGATTGATTTGAAGCTTAAAGGAAAAGTACACCCTCATATTTAACATTCCCAATTGGAGTAATAAAAATTAGGTTCCTGTTCAAACATCTGATTCTTAGATGTTTCAAAATAATAGCTAAATGGGTGAGGATTACTCTGTCCATACTCTACTCTACTCCAGACACTACTCTGTCCATACTTTGGTGGTTAAAAGAAGGACTCTATACAAGTAGTGGGAAAGGTGGTTTATAATCCCTAGTGACTGATCTCAAAGCAGTGGCTAATGTTGTAAAGGTCTTAATGCAATTGGTAAGAGGCTAAACGACTACAGCAGCTGGCTGCTGAGGGAAACCTTCAAGATCAGATTTCTGCTTAGCAAGAACCCAATAAAATGCATCAGCATGCACAGCAAAACCTGCAGGCATAAATTAATCCCAAAGCTAAGGCTGCTCAGGTCACACCAGAGGCTCAGAACAAGTGTCCATAGACATAGCTTGACATGAATCAAAGTGTTGGGCAACAATCACTGTCACTGAGATTGTAACTGGACCGCTTACACATGTGCTATAGAAAAAAAATGACAAGATGCTTATTCAACTTAATAATATAATACTTATGTATTAATATATAATAAACTACTTCAACAGTAATATAGTTTAACAGAAGAACATTGGTCTGGTCTGGAATCTCTCACAGCAGTGCTGGTGCCCTATCACGGGTCTGATGTCTCCAAGCACCTGTAGTTCAACCAAGTCATTTGTGCTAAAGGAAAGAATAAATGGCAACATAGCATCAGAAAAAGGCTAGAAATAGATCCAAAAGCCACCACAAGGTGCCAACAGCCACATTGGCTGTTAAATGCTTTCAAGAGATGTTCATGTTAAAAGATATTTCAAGTGAAATTCTCAGTTAAGCTAGTAGATAACTGTCATCCTTAGTATAAAAGAGTAGAGCTGCGGGAGTATCAGTCTGTTCACAGATTCAAAGAGAAAACACTGACAAATGGCAAATGTCTATTCTTTTGATAAAAGAAATTCCCAAAGTTTGTTTGCAGCAAAATAGTGATTTTAGTACTCCTACTGAATAGGGGAAAATAGTTTTTTGGCTTTGAGGATCCCTCTCAAAGTTTAGTTATTTACCTAATAAAGACCTAAGACTGATTTTTAACATGTGCTACAGCTTTGAGTGGGAAAAAAAAAACTCCCTCAAGCTTAACAGTCTTATATGCATTAATAACAAATTATTTTATATCTTATATCAAATGTGTATATTATTTATATCTGACAGAGACAGGGGTATTTAGGAATACTAGGAAGGAAGGAGAGGGTTTCCCACAGACTAATTTGTTCAGGTTTGATGATTCCAAGCCTGTACCTTTCAGCCATAACCAAGTTATCAAAAATCAAATTAAAAACAACAGACCCCAAAGGCACTACCATACTAGGAGTTATAGTCTCATAGTTGTTTCAGAAGTAGGCTGAGCTGTGATAAGCTTTTGTGGAGTGTGTCTTGAAAACTTTCTAAATTATAATATGTGAATAAAAGGTTATTTTTAATGTTTGTTAGAAATACAATATTTCTTTTTGTTTGAGGGTGATGTTATCAGAAGGAAGCGTTTTGTTTTGTAGATTCAGGGAAAAATAACAAATGAAAGGCCGTGGCAATTGTGCTAAGAATTTCTCTCTTATTTAAGTGAAAAAGTGAAGTGAAGAGAAGTGAAGGTTCAGCTTGCTGAATTACTGGACAGGTCTTTTTATGGTCTGGAGAAATAAGAGAAGAATTAATGTTCTGGGTTAAAAGGGGAAGTTTGAAGTTGGTTGTGAAAGTGTACCTGAAGGAGAGCAGCTCACATTAATGCTTATGTTTTTAAAAATGCTTGGATGCTATGAAATACTGCGCTCAGGAAAAGACAGACCTGTTTTGACCTTTTTCTTTTTTTTGCCTGCTAATCCTTGCCACCCCAGATTTTCCTTACACCCTTTTAAAGTAGCCATATTATCTGTGGATTTTATATCAATAAAAATTGAGTTAAACTATAGAGTGTACACAGGAAGTCAATGTTTTAACACCCACACAGATGAAAGGGAACTGTACAACAAGCGGTCTGTATTTTACCGGCTTCATTTAAAAACAGACATTTTAGAAAATGGTAAAGTGGAGTGCACCAGGAACTCATAATCGTCAAAAGGGGCCTTATTTAACTGGTCTTTTCATCTCAGTAATTTAAAAGCTTTTAATTTACTATAATTTACTTTACCCCCGTTTTACAAAGTACCAAAGGAAATGTGTGAATGGTTATTCAACTAAAATACATTAGCTCTAATTAGGATTTGATTTGAGGTTGTTATTAACTTTCAAACAAATTTATGCAATGTATAAATTATGAAACTTACTGTATGTGCAGTTTTTTTCGCTTCAAAAATGTTCCATTTTTTTAGTCTTTAAAATGTCCTTAGAGAATACATATGTACTGTATGCCCTTTGCTAAATAAGATGAGGAGTTTGCCTTAGCCACTGGCCTAGTGTAAGTGGAAAAAACACCCATTACATCTAATTCCTGTCCATAAGTTGAGCATAATGGGGCTGATTAACTGTAAAGCCTGTAAATTGACAATTGTTGTAAAGATTTTTCTTTTTGTGCAATTTTTGTGCCAAAATTATTCCTTCAAAGGTTGACATTTTTATTGCATCTTGTTTAATCTCTTTTTGTTTTTTTTGGAAATGTTTTGTTAATTTATATGAATTAAATTCAATAGATTGTTCCATAAATGCCACTTATTTAGCTTTATAGCCCTGTAGATATTTTGTGGGGTAACAGCATATGAGCTCAAGTGCTGTTTAGGCAGAACATCAGTGGTACAGTTGAAATTAGAAATCCGATTTTCTTCGGATTGGAAACTCAGCCAGCAAACTAAACTTTGTGGTGTCTTTGTTATGGCAAATATAATTTGTGACGTAATGTTGCAATATGCAACACTCATTTTTTCACTGTTGTTACTGATCGTACAGGAAGGTTAATAGAGGTTAATAGAGGTACACCTTTGGTGTTTTTAACACCATTAAAAATGTATGAATTCCCTGCTGTTTATTTTAACGGTTTTTGGTGCTGGATGCCATTTGGTTGATGTTCACTTCATGATCCTGAGTTTTGTCACCGGGTAACTGTGTTTCATAAATTAAAATGTGAAATAAAGAATGCAGAAAAGCAAATAAAAAATGTTTTTTTTTTTCATTTACAATAATTCTATTTCAGTATAAATGTGATGCTTATGAATTTAGTTATGTTCTCCATGTACTATACAGGGTTTTGCTGGATTAGAAAGCACACAGTCATACAGTATTTGAATCTAATATCTTGCCTGTTGCTAATATTGTGAAAGTTTCTCTTGGTTTTTATGTGTTATAAAGACTTTATGATCTATCACCTGTTTGCTAGGGAAGGCATGGTATTGATCTACAGACATTGGATTGAGTATTCCTTCGGCTATGATGCTTTCATGTCTTATTTTTCTCAGTTATTCTAGATCATGTAGATAGGATGTTAAGCAGACTATACTGTACTACTGTATATAGAGAAATGGTACTGGCATTTCTTGATTCCCTAAAATCCCATCTTTTAGGTAAAGGCTTATCATTCAATTGCTATCTCTTTCACCTAAAAATCTTTGAATTCCAGTTTTATATCCCTCCATCTCTTTTCTAACTGATTTATCCAATACAGGGTTGCAGGGGAGCCAGGGCCTATCCCAGCAAGCAGCAGGTGCAAGGCAGGATACACCCTGGATGGGACACCAGTCCATCACAGGGCACACACAGACACTGGAACACTGGAAGACAAACACAGAGAAAACATACAAACTCCACACAGATAGCACTTCAAGAATTGGTCCCGGGCTTCAGTGCTGTGAGGCAATAATGACATGTCAATGTGCTATCCCCAGTTTTATTTTATTACAGATAAAAATAACTGACTTTTATATACAGTACTGTAGCTTTATAAGACTATGCACAGGTGCATTTGTTTTCTCTGCTTTGGTTGTGACTTTTGTGTTTAACCTTCTTCTCTTTAGTTGGTAAATGTTCTTCAAAATGTGGGCTGTGCGTTCGAAAGCTTTCCTTTGCAGAAAAACTCCCCTTCAAAAGTCAGCCTGTTATCGGTAATAAGATTATTGTCCAACCGCCAAACTGCTTAATTCATTGCAGAGCGGTTTGTACTACAATTTAACTGGGTTAATCGTAAATAAAATAATTAAAAGTTAGTTGTTTCAAGGGCCTGCAGTTGATAGTTTTTCATATCTAGCACATTTGATCTCTTCATTTATATACCGGAGATTCAGGTCAGCACAACACTTCACAAGGGGTTGTATTCATTAATCATTTACTACCATGTGTATTTCCTCTTAAAAGAACAAAACACAGTTAAGTTACAAAGCATTACATAAATCTTTCAGGATGTCAGGTTAGAATCTCTAGCCCTAACCATTTCCTTTATATTTTATTACAGCAGTTGGTTGCTACAAAAATACCAGTTGACCTAGCGTGTCTTAAATGGCTGTAAAAATATGCCTAATAGTAATTTTAAAGAGTAAAATGTTTTAGTGATAGACACTATTGAATAATGCAAGCTTGTAATCAATATGATTACAACAATCATATAAAACGACAACATTTTCATGTGGAACCTTTAAAGCTTTTTTTTTCCTACTCTGTGCCCTGTTTTCAGGAGATACAGTACTGACATAAAAAACACAAGGCTAGGTGATAGAATTAATGTGGAAAGTCCATCTTTCTACATCCTTTTTTATAAAGATGGAGACCTTGATTAACATTTGGTGCCTTCCTCTGTTAAACTGTGAGCTAACAAAAGCAAAAAAAAGCATTAATATCTAATTCTAAAGCTCAGACTGAAGAGCACATCAGAGGATAGACTTGCATGTAACATCTTTATAAAGTGTTGTTTGAACTGTAAATTTGAAACAAGATTTTAGCAATTGTGTTTTCATCCAAATCTGACATTTTCGCTTAGTCTTTCTGTCCTGGATAGCCTTTTTGATCTTTCAGATCTCACTGACACCTCACCATCAAGTTACAAAAAGCCTATAAAGTCAATTTTATAGAGTGCAGG